CAGCCTTAGTTTTCTCATCCATAAAAAGAAGCTGTTGGAGTAGGTGATTTCACAAGTTCTTAGAAAGGTGTGATGCATTTGGAAAGAACTCTAAAGAGTGCTTACAATCAAAGTAAAGATTTGGAGGGTTGAAACATGTAGTTTCAGAATCAATAATAATAATTTGTTTTTTACTGTGGAAAACCTCACCACTCTTTTCCAGATGCCTTTTTCATTAAACACCCTCAATATTATTTTTCATTGTGTTCTTGAGACTGCTTTCTAGTTTCAGTTCACACATATTTATGCCCTCTAAAATGTTCTCTAAGTTGGGAGTTCATCTGGAAAAAGTCAAAATGAAAGTGAAGCACCCCACCAAGCTGCCAGTGGCCCTCCACTGAAATCAAACTCCCTGAAACTGATCCTCCCTGCTAAAACCTTCAAGTTCCTTTCTCTCCCCATGCCAAATTGTTCACAAAATCTAAAGCAAGGAAACAGTGAGATTTTAAAGTGAATGTACAAGTTTTGTGAAACTCTCCTTTCCTTCTTCCCCAAGCTATTCACTTCTTTGTTTCTAAGGTAGAACATACTGAAAATAAAATGCAAGGATGCACTTAAATTCATATGCATTTTAGCACTGGAAAAATCTTTGGTTTAATCCAACTCTGTTATTTTTTTATTTTATAATTTGTCCCAGATTACCCAGATATTTTATAATAGACATGAATTACCTGAAAATTACCTGACAAGCATGGATAATAAAAAAAAGAATGAAGATGGAATGTTTATTCATACTCATACCTAATATATTGCAATCATTTCTATGACACATATGCCCTCATTTCTTTCACATAGCTTATTTCATTTACCCTTTAGCTGGTGTGCAAGGTTGCCATTATTACCTTCATTGTAAAGATGAAACAGAAGCTCAGGAGAGCTATGTGACTTTCCTGAGTTCAACAAATAAGCTAAATGAGGAACCATGTAATGCTGAGATTTGAATCCACATCTGATCCCAAAGCTTGTGGACTTGCTCTTCTACCAAAGGGATATTCAGTAAGTTTAAAACATTTAGTAACTACATTGTTAAATTCTAAAGGAAACTCATTTTTTTTCTGTATATTCACTTCCCAGAGCTTTTTAGGATATTAACCAGTCTCTAACACATGATAGGCTTTGGTCCAACTAGTGTAAAACATGGCGGATAAATTCACCAGAGATAAAGAAAATATTAATACACGAGTAGCTAACCATTGGTGGAAACTGACAGGAGAAGGAAGGTTTACAGATTTAGGTAAAGTGTTTTATTTATCCGAAGTCTTCTCTTGGGTGTTTTCAGACTACCATAACTCCTTGTGAACATGAGAGACTGGACACATCTCTCTGTTCTTTGTGGTTACTCCGACCACAAGCACATCCAGAGAAAAAGTCTGCACGCCTTGTGCAACTTGTCAGAAGATGTCACTAATACACAGTGGTGTGCCGCTAAATGTCTAACAGCCAGGTCTTTGGAGAAAAACAGGTACTGATTTGTGGTATTTGCCAATTTCCATGGTGTAAATACAACGACCATGACGGATTCAAAACCATAAATATGTCATCACCGACTGCAAGTAGGGAAGAAATGAACAGTAGCCCATGCTGTATAGTTTTTCCACCATACAGAAACAACAGGAGTAACCACTAGATTGCAGGATATGGAAACATGTGGTCAAATAATTAGCAAGTGATGAATTTTGAATATTATCTTTTTATATAACTTTTTCCTTGTTAGTTAATACTAACTTGTTAATTTTTACTAATGCCTGTGTTTAACAACCGGGTCACAAAGTTTCTGAAAACTTAACAGTCCACTCCTGTGAGCTGGTGCAAGCCAGTTCCAGCCCTCGACTGTGACTATTTCATTCTTGCTCCAGGTTAGTACTTGGGTGGATGTTTAGGGATTTGCTAGCATGGGTTAAGTGTGATTAAGTATAGACTCTGCTCCAGCAAGAAAATTCCAAATACGACAGTTTAACCTTAGAAAATAAAGAGTGATGTTAGGCCCTCTGTCTGAAATACTTTCTATTAGGGAAACAGCAGGAGCAGAGAGCCTGGGACCAGGCCTGCTGTACTCCAGGAAGGATGATGTCCTGCTTCTAGTCCCTTCTACAGCAGCCTGGGTCTGGGCACAAGCACCCACGTAGCTGAAGGAGGCATGCACACACTTGTACTCACTTGTCTATAAGCTTTCATTTTTAAACTTTCCCAACAGTAGAGCTCTAGAAAGATGTTCAAAAATGTGCTTTTGCAAAGTAAATGCTATAATCTGTTGGCTTTCTTTTTATCATCAGTAGTGCTTTCTCGTCGTTGTCCAAACTTCCATAGAAAAGGTGAAAATTTTCAGAATAATTGCCACCCTGCCACGTGCTGGGCCTGGCAGCATCACTCTGCCAGTGATTTCACGCGTGCTGGGCTTCAGAAGGCTCCCTGGCTCCCTGGGCTCTCGGACCCGCAGCTCTTCCCTCTCTCACGGGAGATCCTTCCCAGGTCTCTTTCCTGGCCCCAGACATTTCTCCCTGGGATAGGTGGACTTTTATTTATACTATCTGAGTCCCTTTTTGCTTTCATTTTTAATTTGGACTTTATGTATTTATCAAATATGTACATGACACCTTTCAAAAGAGCAGATCATTCCATAATGCTTATTATGGAATATAAACCCCGACTCTCTTCCACTGTTCAAAAGCACTTTTAGCCCTGTCAGCTGACTCTATTGGTACTTACAATCATTTCTCTCTGTAAGTCGCTTAGAGTGCAACTTTTGCTTTTCTGTTTTAGACTGTATCTATTAGTGTCCTACAGCAGGAGATGAAGATTTAAACTATCACTTCCTGTATCCCCATCTTCCCAATATAGTTACATCATAGTCAATGTTTACTTAAATATGACCATGTAAACTCTGTTCATAGCTGAGCCATATAATACACTATGATTACTTTTCCATTCTTGAACAATTTTTAAGCTCTAAAATTAAGAATTGTATTTTCTGTTTGCTATGTTTAAAAGCAGTTCTCATGTATTCACTCCCAAGTTATCTCCCAATTGTTTAAATTCCCTTTTCATACACGGATGTATACCAGCTATCCATTTCGGTCATTGTCTTAGAGGCCGCTCTTTCAGAGCCTTCTAACAGGTCCCTTTGGCCTTGTGTTGTTATCCTGCAATCTCAGTGCAGCGTCACACTGAGGATTCTCTCTAGGATTGAATCCTCTGTTCCCTGGAGTCCACATTTCTCACTTATTTTGATAAAATAACTCCTTTGTAGCCTCCTGAAAAAGAGGTCATAGAAAATAAGTTTTCATTTCTTACATGCCTGAAACTGTCTTTTGTCTAGCTTCATATATAATTTGTAAAATCTGATATGACATTGTAGTTGGGTTGGATATAGAATTCTAAGTTGGACATAATTCTCCTGAGATACTCGAAGGAATTTCTTCTCTGACTTTTATCTTACAATGTGCTCTAGAGAAATCTGAAGCCATACTGATTTTTATCTTTAGTGAATCACCATCTTTTTTGTTTTTTAACCTCTGGAGATATTCAGGATTTTACATTTAACCCCAGAGTTCTGAAATTTCATGACGGTCCCATCAGGTACAGGATAATTTTTATCTCCTACTCTTGAAAATGCAAGATCCTCAATGAAACCTTTTCCTCCCACTAGTTTCTCACCCGGATGTCTCTAGGACAACCCTACTTCTACAGCTCTCAGTTTTCTTGTTTGCAAAATGTGGATAACATTCATGGAGTACTTGAGAAATTGAAACATTAATATCACTGACTGTAAGTGAAAACTGAAAAAGCACTCCACATTTTTAAGTTGTTATAATTACTACCATTATTTTATCAGAATGAATCTTTCCATATATTTGTTTTGGTTTTGCTGTTTTTTCTTTCAGAGACAGGGTCTCACTCTGTTTCTCAGGCTGGAGTGCAGTGGTGTGTTCCCTTTAAATGAAAACCAGAGATCCTCAATCCTAGGACATTTTTACATATTATTTCTTTATTATTTCCTTTTTTCTATTTTCTTGTTTCATACGGAACTCAATTTCTCTTTCAATGTTAGACTTCTGACGTGATTGTCTATAGTTATTACGTTCCCCTCTTAATTTTCAGTTCTTTATCTTTTTTGCCCCACTGTCTTAGAGATTCCTTCAACTTTATCTTTCAGCCCTGCTGAAAGAATAAGTTACCCATTTCTCCTTTCATATACTTAATTCCCAAAGTTTCTCTCTTATTCTCAATTTATTTTATCTTTCTAAAGAATTCTGTTCTTATTACACAAAGAAAAAATTTGTGGTAAACTCTTTGATGATGTTAATAATGTATGTTTTCAATTGTCATCTTCCTGCATAGACTCTAGGTCCTCTAAGTTATCTTTTTTTCTTCTTGTTTTGTTTTGTCTCTTGCTTTTATGGTAGAGGCTTTCCTAAGTTAACTGGTGGACTTTTGTAGCTGCTCATATTTAATAGCAGGACACTAAAAGATTTTTGGAAGCTTTGCTGTGTATGGTAATTGCCAACTGTGGGTTTGGTGATAAAGTGAATGACTAGATCATTTTGGAGGAATTATCTTCATATCAGTGGCTTTTGGTGTTGTATTAGTCCATTTTCATGCTGCTAATAAAGACATACCCGAGATTGGGTAATTTAGAAAAGAAAAAAGGTTTAATGGACTTACAGTTCCTTGTAGGTAGGGAGGCCTCACGATCATGGCAGAAGGTGAAAGGCATGTCTTACACGGCGGCAGATGAGAGAGAATGAGAGATGAGTGGAATGCAGAAGGGGTTTCCTCTTATAAAATCATCAGATCTCATGAGACTTAGTCATTACCATGAGAACAGTATAGGGGAAACTGCCCCCATGATTCAACTCTCTCCCACTGGGTCCCTCCCACAACACTCAGGAATTATGGGAGCTACAATTCGAGATGAGATTTGTGTGGGGACACAGCCAAACCATATCAGGTGTCTTCTCTTGGGCTGATCAGATTTCCCAGAGAATAGTCCTTGAATCTACCTGAGAGCTACAGATCTGTCTACCTGCCCTCTGCAGGTGAAGAGGCTGGGGCAGTCTCAATATGCAGCACATAAAATTGCCTTTATTTCCTGTTTTCTGTGTGGTCTCCTCATGATCTATTTTGACTCATGTCCTTCAATTCAGAAACTCTGTCTTTATCTCTTCAGAAAATAAAATTCCAGTCTCCTCTTGAGGTTGATGAGGGGTTTCCCTGCCTTGCAGGGTAGTGGAAATGAGGGCTTTGATACCTCTCAGACAGCCTTTTGGAGACCCCTTCAGCTTCCAGCCCTCTCTGTACTCCAACTTTTGGAGGCACTGGATTAGCCAATTCTTGAGAGCTTTGTAAAATTGTAAAATCTTTTGTTCACAGGTGATTTAGACATGACTTTTCTGGCTGCTAAGTCAGCAACTAGCTGTTTTTCTGCTTTCTAACTTCCAAAGTTCTTGCTGTGGAACTTAGAGTTCGAACTCTTATTGTCTTTATTTTATGGGTTAATGTCTTAAAAGTTGTTTTTGCTGATGTGTTAATGGAATTCTTGGAGGAGTCTGAGGCAAATGCTGGTGTTCAATTTGCCTATAAACAGAAGGACCCAAATTAATCTTCCCTCTTCTGCCGCTATTTCGTGAATACTTCTATTTCCTCATGGATACATTTCCCCTGATATCACCACCACATCCCCCTCAAAAAAATATAAATAAATAACAGCAAAATTAGAAACACAATCAATATTTTCATACCATCCTACCTTTGTCTTTGGTTAGGTAGTTAACTCTAATAAGACTGGGCCAGTTTCTAGTGAGGCTAAGGTGTCTATAATCCTGCTTCTGTTAAAACAAACATTTGGCCTGGGTGCAGCAGTTCACATCTATAACCCCAGCACTTTGGGAGGCTGAGGTGAAAGTATTGCTTAAGGTCAGGAGTTTGAGGCCAGGCTGGCCAACACAATGAGATCTCATTTCTACAAAAAAATAAAAAATAGGCAGGCAGGGTGGCACACACCTAAGCCCCAGCTACGAGGGAGGCTGGGGCAGGAGGATGGCTGGAGTCCAGGGGTTCAAGGCTGCAGTGAGCTATGATTATACCATGGCACTCCAGCCTGGGCAACAGAGTGAGACCCTATCTCTAAAAGAAAAAACAACAACAGAAAAACAAATATATGGAAGGATTCATTCAGAAAAAATAATGTAATAATTATAACAACTTAAAAATGTGGGTTGGGCACAGTGGCTCACGTCTGTAATCCCAGCACTTTGGGAGGCCAAGGCGGGCAGATCACGAAGTCAACAGATCAAGACCATCCTGGCCAACATGGTGAAATCCTGTCTCTACTGAAAATACAAAAAAAAATTTAGCTGGGTGTGGCAGTGCATACCTGTAGTCCCAGCTACTGGGGAGACTGAGGCAGGGGAATCGCTTGAACCCAGGAGGCAGAGGTTACAGTGAGCCAAGATCGTGCCATTGCACTCCAGCCTGGATGACAGAGTGAAACTCAGTCTCAAAAAAATAAAAAATAATGTGTAGTACTTTTTTAGTTTTCACTTACAGTAACTGGTATTAATCTGTTTTAATTTCTCAAGTGCTTCATGAATATTATCCACATTTTGCAAAAAAAAAAAAAAAAAATACCTGAGAGCCATAGAAGTGGGATGGGACATCCCAGTGGGAACTAGCGCAAGCCCGATGCCAGGCCAAGACTCTCACCACAGAGCCTGCAGTCTATCTGCCATGACACATTGGCTCTGGCGTTTTTCTCACAGTTAAACTGATAAGGTCACATTCTGCCCATAAATAAAAATCAGAGTAAATTGCATTGAACTCACTTATTTGCAAATGAGGGGAATATGTAAGGCAACTCCAGAACTAAGGCTCAACTGGAACCTATTATTTGAAAATAAAAGAGATGTAGTAACTAATACAAACTCAAGTCAAAAAGTCATATAGAGTGAGAGTAGAAAAAAGCCACACAACTGAAGCCTTAAAAATCAAGAGTAGCAAGCTTATAAAAATTAAACTGAATTTCCATCAGTGACGACAGCAAACTGGTAGGACACTGTTGTGCTGAGCTGCCAGACTCTGCCCCACCCCCCAAAACTCCTATGTTGAAGACCTAAGTCCCCTTACCTTAGAACATGACCATATGAAGAGACAGGGTCTATATAGAGGTAATTAAGGTAAAATGAGACCATTGGGGTGGGCCCTAATCCAATATAACTGGTGTCCCCATAAGGAGAAGAAATGGCTGAGTGTGGTGGCTCACGCCTGTATTCCCAGCACTTTGGAGGCCCGAGGTAGGCGGTTCATGAGGTCAGGAGTTCAAGACCAGCCTGGCCAACATGGTGAAACCCTATCTCTACTAAAAATACAAAAATTAGCTGGGCATGGTGGCACATTCCTGTAATCCCAGCTAGTTGGGAGGTTGAGGCAGGAGAATTGCTGGAACTGGGACCTGAGAGGAAGAGGCTGCAGTGAGCCAAGATCTCACCACTGCACTCCAGACTGAGCTACAGAGCAAGACTCCCTCAGAAAAAAATAAATAAAAAGAAGAGGAGGAAGAAGATGGAGAAGGAGGAGGAGGAGGGTGAGAAGGAGGAGGAGAAGGAGGAGAAGAAGAAGAAAGAAGAGAATAAGAGGAAGAAGAAGAAGAAGGAGGAGGAGGGGAAGAAAGAAGAAGAGAAGAGGAGGAGGAGGAGGAAGAGGAGGAGGAGGAAGAGGAAGAAGAAATGTGGACCTGCAGAGAGAAAATGCTGTGAAGACCCTGGGAGAAGACAAGCCACAGAGAGAGGCCTGGAGCAGACCCTCAGCTGCTACCTGCCCCACCCTGCCCACACCTTGAGTTGGAACTCCCAGTCTCCGAAACTGGGCCAATACGTTTCCGTTGTTTCAGTCACCCCGTCCGGGTACTTTGCAGCCCTAGCAAACGAACCAGGAACCCAAAATACAATGAACCTGAAGGAGCCCTATCTGTCAAGCCATTACCTACTCAGCACTGTTCCCAGGCACCTAAAGAGGTTCAAAGACTCAGTGTTATTCTTCAAGAAAGCTTATGATCAGTCTGGGCAGGGAGAGTCCAAATATTAAAAAATGAGAGGCTGGCACACAGCACCAACCTGTCCTGGCTGCTAGCTGCCTGTGCTCCCACCTGCAGGAGCACATGCTCCTGGCCCTGTGAGCTCCCTTAGAGGCCGAGCCTGGTTTCTCTGCCTGCCCCTCCCTCCTCTCCCACTCCCTGCCTGCACTCTAGCCGAAATGAACATCTGAGGTCTCACAATGTTTGATTCCCTTCAGGTTCCTGACTTTGTGTGTCCCAGTGCTCCAGATAGCCCTCCCCCTCTACAAACAGACGTGTTTCCTGGAAAACACTCACCGCATCTCCAGAACTCAGTTGAAGTGTGGCCATCTCCAGAAGATTTTCCCTGAGCACTTTCTGAGACTGGCTCAGGGCTTCCTTCTCTCTGCTCCCATCCTTTCCTGGGCTCCCTTCGGCAGCGACACCTGGGTGGCTCTGCTGGCGCCCGCTTAGGCTTAAGCTTGCCAGGCTGTTTCCTCCAGGCCAGGGTTGTGTGGGGCCTGCTGTGAGTGAGAGGGCAGCGTCCACATCCCCAGCGCCCTTCTCCCTCTCCCAGCACACACCAAACCTCTCTTTGTGTTGCTCGACAAACACAAGAGCTTTTATTTTAAAACTGGGAGAAAATAAATTAGAGAAAGAGATGAAAAAGCACTTCCCCACTCCTCATCCCTTAGATTGATTTTAAATATCCAGACAGAGAGAAACCAGAGGCAAAAGTGACCAGGCTCCTCCAGGGCACTAGCTATCCAAGGCGAGTCCGAGGCCTTGGGACACCAGAGACCTTTGCAAGGGGTCTGAGGATTGAAAACTTTTTTCATAGTGACACTAAGACATGCTTTCCCTATTTTCATTGTCATTCTCTCAATGGAGTTTCCCAGAGCCTACAGGAACCTGATGGCATCACTGTTCTGACAAAGTATGTAAAAGGGGTGCATTCTTCAGCTCTAAAAATGTCTCTTTAAAAAAAAAGGAAAAAAAATATGGAATGCTTCACGAATTTGCATGTCATCTTCGTGCAAAAAATTTCTCTTTTAATTTCTAACACAATCAATATCAGTATATGCCACCCAAGTAAGAAAAAAAAAAAGTCCTATGGGGACCACAATAATCTTCAAGAGTGTGAGAAGTTCCTGCTTCCAAGGAGTTGGAGAATCTCTCCGCCCTAGAGAGTTTTGGGAGGATCCATGTAAAGCACAGCTGTCTGGACCCCAGGTGACAAATGAGTGTTCAGAGGTGGGAGGGGACCCTTGTCTCTGCCTCTAGACAGAACCCACTCAAACTTCGCAATCCCAAGGAGTGAAGGGTTAGAGAACATCAGAACAGCCACATTGGTGATGACCTAACACCCTGACAGGCTACAGTAAAACCAATTATTAGGAAGAAGGAAGCGGAGACGCATAAGAAGAAGCCAGGAGAATATGCATTCTTATTTAAGACTCAGATGCCCAGCTACCTCCACTACCTCCAGTAGTCCTGAACTAGGAAGTGTAGTTTTGTTTTTGTTTTTGTTTTTTTTAAAGCTTCTAAGCATGGTGAAACAGCTTTTAGAAAATCCATGCACCAAGCCCAAGGGGAGAGTGGATGGGTGGTGAAGTCACCATTTTTCTTCTGAGACACAGCCATTTGTCATAAATTAACACAAAATATATTCAATTTCCCCAAGCTGCTGCCAGCTCTCTGCAAATTAGTTCACTTCAGCAACATTTCACTGAAAATGTCAGTAAAATTATTTTTCTAATTAATTATTAACTAAATTCTAATCAAAATTCTAATGGACAATTTTTGTGTCTTTACAACCAATTCTAAATTCATAATGAGGAATATATTAAAAAATTAAGCTTTTAAATATTCTTGTTGTTTAGCGACAGGGTCTCACTCTGTTGCCCAGGCTGGAGCTCAGTGGCACAATCATAGCTCACTGCTGCGGCCTTGAACTCCCGGGCTCAAGAGATCTTCTTGCCTCAGCCTCCCGAGCAGTTAGAACTATAGGCGCAGACAACCCTGTCTGCCTAATTTCTTTTATTTTTGTTCTCTGAGAGATTGGGTCTTGCTACATTGCTCAAGCTCGTCTTAGACACGTTGCCTCAAGTGACTCTCCTCCCTCGGCCTCCCAAAGCACTGGGATGATGGGTGTAAGCCACTGTGCCTGGCCCTAACCTTAAATCTTCTTAAGACAATAATGCCAGGAAGGTTACCTAAGTAATAAAACTTGTTTTAAAACAAAATTAAGGAAAAGACACTGTGGTATTTGTGTAAGAAGAATTGACAGATAAGTAAATAGAAAAGATAGTTATAGAAGATAAGAGTTATGGAAGACACATACCCCTCCACACCACTTACGGAAATGTGCATGATATTTTCAATACAGAATACACCACAAACCAGAAGATAAAGATGATTCAGTGTGACCGGTGTTTAAAACATTTCAATATTAACTAAAGTAAAGGTAGAACTTTGCCTTACACTTTACACCAACGATAAGTTCTATATGTATCAGAGAGTTAAATATTTTAAAAATAAAACACAAAAAGGAAAATATGTGTGAATCTCAACTCAATCCTTACAGAAAGGACTTCCTAAACATTTAAACAATAAAAAATAAAAGAAAAAAATCGGTAAATTTGAATGATGAAACATAATATAATAGCCACATTATATAGCAAAAAAATAAGGCAAAAAAACCTGGAAACATTCACAGCAAGCATGATATAAGGTCAAGATTCTTAATATATAAAGAGTACCTGTTCACCAAAAATGAAACTCAGCAACACTCAAAATCCTCTTAAAATATGAAAATGACTAAACAGAAAATTCACAGAAACTAATACGAGTGGTTAACACATTTGAAATGAGGTTCAGCCTCAAGAGAGCATATTTTACCTATCCATGCACTAAGGATTTGTGGATGACAGCTTTCAATGCTAACAAGAATACATTGAAAAGAGCGCACATATATTTTCCTTCAGGAGGCAAATCTGGAAGTATATACCAAGAATCTTTAAGAAGACTTAGAATTCAAAGGAACATTGTTAATCAGATAGAGAAGCTAAGTTTAATATGTACAGGAATGCACCCCACAGCATTGTTTATCATTGCAAACCTAGACAATGCTTAGTATCTCTCAGTCTCAATTCCTCAACTGAACACCAGGAATAGTAACCTACTTTGTATATACATTATATATGTAAAGCATTTGAACTAGAGCTTGGCATATAGCGGGCACTTAATACATAATTGGTTTTTGGGTTTTTTTGTTTGTTTGTTTGTTTGTTTGAGAGAGAGTCTCACTGTGACGTCCAGGCCAGAGTGCAGTGGTACAATCTTGGCTCAGTGCAACCTCTGCCTCCCAGGTTCAAGCAATTCTCCTTCCTCAGCCTCCCGAGTAGCTGAGATTAGGGCATATACCACCAAGTCCAGCTAATTTTTGTATCTTTAGTAGAGATAGGGTTTTACCACGTTGACCAGGCCGGTCTTGAACTCCTGACTTCAGGTGATCCGCCAGCCTCGGCCTTTCAAAGTGCTGGAATTACAGGCATAAGCCACTGCATCTGGCCCAATGCATAATTGTTTTTACCATCTTTTGCTGTACCAGCAAAATTCTGACGGCAATTTCTGGCTGCTGTTTCACCTTGAACTTCCTGCCAAGTGACACCTGAGAGATGTAGGGCACTCACAGCTCCCAGCAGGCCACGGTGGCACTGTTTCCACTCAAACATTGACAATTTGGAAAGCAGAGTCATTTGAGGGAATACATACATAACAAATTCACTTATTGAGACTATTCCCTTAAGATGGTAGATAATTGAGGAATACTATTTTTATAATATATATTTACATTCATAATTACTGATTTCCGATTGCCAGTACATGTGGCAACATAATTTTGGAGGATGATGTGTGCTTATGTGAGAAACATAAAGGTACAAGATAAATATAATATATATACACACAAACATATACAATGAATAGTTATATATGAGATATATAAATACGTAGATTTATACAGATGTAATATCTATTATGTCTACTTAATTGCCTATAAAGATGTGGATAGAAATGAAGAAATCAGATAAATTAGCCACTTTATAAAAGAATTCATGATCCTCCATAAGACTTCAAATCTTATCTAATAGTTAAAATGTAATGAAGCGGACTTTTAAAGTTACAATTTATATTCGGTATCTCAGGGACACATATATTTCAATACATGAGGTAGACATAGAAAACAATTCACATTTATTTACATTTGAAAGTCATAGTTATTAATGCCGGCTAATCTCCCTACGCAAATTCTGAAATACCAACACCTAGCTGTAAATAGCTTGGAAGTGTGACCACAAAGAATGTGCCCATAGGCGGATTATCTTAGGGAGATTAACTTGCTTTTTAATTCATTCAATTATTAGAATCTTAAAAATTAAGCACTAACATTTTCAAAGTGCTAAAAAGACCCAAACACAATAATAACTCAGAAAGCTTGGACAAATAAATATAGTGACTTTAAAACTCTAGCCTCTTACAAAGGAATTCAGGAAGAATGTAATTTGATTCAAAGAGGTTTAAATCAAACAACTGATTATCAGAATGAAAATAATGCTTTGATCAAATTTTTGTTTTTTTAATTTTAAAACCTCATACAAACTACAATGTTATCCTATGTTCACCAGAGTCATTTATCAGTATATCCACTTTCCAAAATGGGAAGAAAAAAAAAAGCTGTTACATCAGCATTTTTTTAATGTTCTCCTTTCTACACATTAGGCCTTTCTTGTGTATGTCTTCTAGAAAATTTGCATTTAGAGAGAGGAAATTATAATCACTTGAAGAAACATCCTCTTGATCACACCAAAACCTTTCACTCCAAATCCCAAGCCATTAAAATTTGACCCACGTTATAGAAACGATGGAATCATGGTCATAAACTCTGCTTCCTCCCCTTAAACTCAACTTAGTGATTGTATTTTATTTATTTTTTTTATTTTTCATTTTTTTGGCCTTGTTTCAGTCTCTTCTATAGATCAGTTTCCCCCACAGCTTGGTAATGAGATGAGGTAAGCCACGCCTATTCCAAATTACAGAGAACTAGGAAGGCAAAGGTGGAGAGGACATAGAGGACTCTAAAATAAGGATGGAGGCAAACACTCCTTGCTCCCAGCTTTGGCCCAGCAGTAAACACACGCTCACAACGCTTCTCCTTTGTAGATTCTGAACAAGTTTCATGAGCCAGTATCTCACAAACATCTGCCTTCATTATAATTATATTTCTATTTCAGCTGCACCAAGCTATTTACAGATGAGCCTGTTCATAAAGAGCTTTATAATTAAGCAAACAGAAATATCTTTTTATAGGATGCAGATCTAGGGGTGATAATCACACACAAAATACACAGCAACAGTTGCAAATAGAGTGTTTAACGCTAGTTATATAGTTAGTGATGTGCTCAATAAAGCCTGACATGTCTTTGTTCCTAAATACGAGAAAATATGGTCTTTGCTACACAGCAGTGTAAACTGTCTTCTTTTCCTATTTTTTTAAGCAAAGGCCATATTTTTCAGGGTGGGTTCTTAAAATGTATGTGTGTATGTGTTTTATATAACAACAGGGTCTTAACACACATTCTCTGGCTTAGTAGGGCTTGAAATATGCCTGGGATTTGGAGAGAGCTGATTCTAAATATAAGCAGCAACGTATGGTGGCACAGAGTGTGACAGATTAAATTAATAGATAGTAGAGATTATCTGATGGTACTATGGAAGTTGCTGCCAGACAAAAAGAAACGTACAATACTTATCGCAGCAGAAAAAGGAATTGCTCGTGTTCCAATTAAAATCTGCCTAAAGCCGTGGACATTTCCCAAGAAGTCCTATACGTTCTCGTAACCCTTACCTGAAACCTCCGCCTGTCTCAGGGCTTCAAAGCTGTCACTTGCAAAAATATTTGTGAATCTTCTTGACCATCCAGAAGTCATGAAATCCCAGACTGGGCGGGAAAAAAATAGCCATTGTTTGCTAAGATTCAGCCTTGGCACAGAAAGGTTCACATACATCAAACAACACTTCGTTCTAGAAGATATATGTACAGCTCATATACTGCTCCTGAGAGCGTGCAGTGGTGTCATGCGTTAGAAAATGACTTTAATTGGACAACCACACCCAGAATAAAAGAGCAAGTCTCAAAATAGTAATCTCCTTTGACCCGGTAATTACAATTGTACAAATAATTATGAAGAAAAGAAAACTCAAAAAGCATCAATAAAATAACTTTTATCCAGCAAGATATTTGTCATAATGTTTACTATTGTCATAAAATAAAAATGGAACGCCCTCAAATGTCCAACTGTAGGAAAATGGTGAAATAATTTATGGCAGATACATTCAGTGGAATAGCCTACAGCCATAATATTTTTGTTGTCTAAAAGTTTATAATGATTTGGAGGAATGTTTACTATATAATATTAATGAGTAAAACTGGGTGAATGACACAATATAATCTCAACTGTGTACATATGAAAGTACAATAGATGGGAGGAAATACATGAAAATATTTAAAGTGATTAAATTAGGGAAATGAGATTTCATTCTATTCTTATTAGCTAAATGTATTTTCCAAATTTTCTGTAATAAACATTTACAAATTTCAGGTTCAATAAAGGGTATTTGTAAAACTATAACCAATCTCAATGTCCATCATAATGATAAAATTGGAGTTGCTTATCTCTATTGTGGAAGGCTGGCATCAGGTTTTCTGACAGACTCAAGTAACCACACATTTTCTATGACCGAAGTGTAACTTTGTCTCTGGTTCACTTTCTACCAGTCCGCTAGAATACGCATGGGAGGATTCCAAGGCTTTAAAGCATGTGTTACAAACATAACTATATTTGTTCTTTAAGAAAAGGAAGGTGGCTCACGCCTGTAATCCCAGCACTTTGGGAGGCTGAGGTGGGTGGATCACCTGAGGTCAGGAGTTCGAGACCCCAGCCTGGCCAACATGGAAAAACCCAATCTCTACTAAAAATACAAAAATTAGCCGGCCTGGTGGCACACGCCTGTAATCCCAGCTACTCAGGAGGCTGAGGCAAGAGAATCACTTGAACCCAGGAGGCAGAGGTTGCAGTGAGCCAAGATTGTGACCACTGCACTCCAGCCTGGGTAACAGAGTGGGACTTCATTTCAAAGAAAACAAAAGGACAAGGAAGAAGAGAGCACTGACAGAGAAATCCCTGGCTCGGGTGTGGAATGTGTCCTTTCAACACAGTTTGTCTGTCTTTTGCTTGAGTCTCTCTCCCGGTCTGTGTGTGTGTTTGTTTCTTATATTCCTCCACGTCTCCACATCTGCTTCTTAGGCCTTTCTCTCTCCGTAATATGTAATGAAAGAGGGAGAACAAACTCCGTTGAGTTCCTTCAGTGTGCCCAGTGACATTCAGCTTTGTGAAATCTTTCCATCTTCACTCCATTCATAAAGAATTGTTATCATAACCCCATTTTAAAGGTGAGCTGAAGTCCCAGCATGGTGGCTCACACCCGTAATCCCAGCACTTTGGGAGGCTGAGACACAAGGATCTCTTGAGCCCAGGAGTTTGATGCCAGCCTGGGCAAAATGGTGAGACCCCATCGCTACAAAAAATATAAAAAATTCACTGAGTGTTGTGGCACGTGCCTGTAGTCCCAGCTACTCAGGAGGCTGAGGCAAGAGAAATGCTCGAGCCCAGGAGGCTGAGGCGGCAATGAGCTGTGCCGGTGCCACTGCACTCCGGCCTGGGCAACACAGTGAGATCCTCCCTCAGAAAAAAGAAAAGGATGAGCAGATAAAGGCAAAGGGAGTTTGTTCCAAGTGATCCTGCTATTAGAGGTAAAGTAGAAATTCAGATTTTGGGTCTGTCTGTCTAAAACCTAGTTGATGAATGAATCAATTCTTCTCCCATGTTTTCCATGTTGTCTCTCTGATATTGGACTCAGGAGACCCGCTGTAGGGGGACTTGGGTGTGAACTTCAGCAAATAGAGCATGCTTCCCAAGTTCACATACAACCCAATGCGTATCAGTCACCCATCAATTTATCTAATACACTTGGCCTACTTCCACAATCAGCTTTCATAACCTAAACAGTAAAATATACTATGAATTTAGAAAAACATAAAATAAAACCAAGGCAGTTTAAAAGAGCAGAGTAATTATTACCCAACATCTGATTGCCCCAGCCAGTGGCTGATTTCTAACCACTGTGTGAAGAGCTCCTTCCTTTCAGTTTCATTAAACTTGCTTCCTTGTAATTTAAAGATATGTTTTCTGATTGTTGGTGTCCAGGATTTGGTAAACTTGAACACAGACATTCAGGTTTACTGTCTTTCACAATGGTGTGGGCCTGGTGCACATTCCCTGGGCTTCCCAGATCAAAGCATGTCTACACCTCTTGCCCTGTCCAGAGACATCAGGCAACTTTCCTGAAATGAAACTACCTAGGTTTGCAGGCTAGTTCTGGATTTGAATGGACTATAGCTCTGTATTACTTCATTTTCATGCTGCTGATAAAGATATATCTGGGACTGAGAATTTATAAGGAAAAAGAGGTTTAATTGACTGAAAGTTCCACATGACTGAGGAGACCTTACAATCACGGCAGAAGGTGAAAGGCACATCACACATGGTGGCAGACAAGAGGAGAGAGCTTGTGCAGGGAAACCCCTTTATAAAACCATCCGATCTCATGAGACTTATTCACTATCATGAGAACAGCATGGGAAAGACCCACCCCCATGATTCAGTTACCTCCCACCAGGTCCCACCCACAACACGTGGAAATTGTGGAAACTATAATTTAAGATGAGATTTGAGTGAGAACACAGCCAAACCATATCAGGCTCTTTCTCCAGCATTTTCAGTCTTTGTATCTTGCCTAACTTATTTCCTGGAAACAAACAAACAACCACAACAACAAAACCATTCTCCAAAAGCCCCATCTCAAAAAAGAAAGAATTTTTTTTTTCTTTTTTCGAGATGGAGTCCCACTCTGTTACCCAGGCTGGAGTGCAGTGGTGCGATCTCAGCTCACTGCAAACTCTGCCTCCTGGGCTTATACCATTCTCCTGCCTCAGCCTCCCAAGTAGCTGGGACTACAGGTATCTGCACCACCATGCCTGGCTAATTTTTTTTTTTTTTCATATTTTTAGTAGAGATGGGGTTTCACCATGTTAGCCAGGATGGTCTCCATCTCCTGACCTTGTGATCCACCCCCCTCAGCCTCCCAAAGTGCTGGGATTACAGGCGTGAGCCGCCGCTCCAGGTTAAGAACGAATTTTTACTGGCGCAGATGCTCCTCTATCTGCCATCCTGATTCTCTCCTTTCACAGCCCATTTACTAATATCCTTTCTCAGAACCCTGGAATTTAGCAGTATCCTGGCTGGCTGTCATCTGTGTAGGGCCAGCTTGGTAGCCATAGGAGCTCTACAGTCATACAAGGCTCTATACCTAGGAGGGTCCTGTGCTTAGTTTAATACTCACTCGGCTGTCACCATCTAAAAAGTCTTATGAATGTTAGAACAAGCGTCCCTGTGTTTTCGTTTTGCACTGGACTCAAACTTGTCCATTAGTCTAGTGCCATGGTGCACTTCAGGGCTGGCCACCATTCCCCAACCGGCTGTCCCTGTCTTGAGTTCTTCGCTGGCAAGTCTCTGGAACACTCACACAGTCAGCCACTGCTCCTGAGCCTCCCTTGCTGCTGTTATGTTCTGTTTGTTTCTCTCTTCTCCTTCTGAAATAGTTTAGCATCACAGATCTCCTCTAACTCCCTATGGCACTGCTGCTCCATACCCCCTTCCTTTGCATTGCCTAGCCTTGTCCTAAGGTGCTCCCATGCTCCCACACTGGCCTTTTCTTTCTCTTTGTTCTCTTTTTGGAGTTCACACTACTCCTAAAGCTTCATCTATCACCTCTATGGGATTGACTTTTTTAAAAATGGTGTTTTCCACAACGTTTCTCACCACCACGTTAACCCTGAAGTTCCAGGTACTGATGTGCTTTAACTCAATTCTGCCCAGCAAATACACTCAGCAAATAGAAAATCCTACTCTTCACTGCTCTCTTTAAACTGGTGCTTTCTACAGATTTCTTTCTTTGATCAGTGAAGCTGTCATTCTATATGAGACCCACACTTCAGTATAATTTCCAAAATATTTCCCATGGCTACTTCTCTCATCCAGTCTATTTTTTAGTCTGCATATATTAACTCTTCTATTAAAAAAAAAAAAAAAAAAAAAACCATTGTCGCAAATTTCCCAAAGCCAAATTCATCGCATCCACAGCTACGCCGTACTTTTTGGTGACATCTGAGCCTCCAATGGTTGGAGTTAGTGAAAGCTCTAAGGTTTTTCTCTCACAACCTCAGATGGCACGTCATAACGAAAATAAGCCTCAGACTGAATTCTGACACATACGTACTTATTAGTAAGTAGGCACAAATGGCATCCAACAACCTGTTGTGTTGGAGTCATGACGCCCAGCTCTCATCCTTTCCAACACTCTGTTTTGTGTGAAATATTCCCTCGATGCTGATGTGACAATATTCTAGCAGCACCATTCAGCTGACATTCTAGTTCAAGTCAGGTGACAAAAATCCATCCAGAATCAGCTAAAAACAGTCAGGCTTGGAACACTAAGCCGAGTAGCCTATTCCAAAGGATGCTGGCAATTAGGGCTCACTGGATTTTTCTCTCTTGTTCACACAAGGGCAAGATTGACTGCATAATATTCCAAGCCAATCCACATATGTTTCTTCATCAGTTTTATTTAGGAAGTATTTTAATGATGTATTAAGGACTGATGCAACCACTGGCTGAAAAACAAAAAGACTAATACCTCGAAAGTAAGTCACATCATTGGTGCTTCCAGTCCAAAACAAACTTCACCTGGAATAACTAGAACTCTGGAATCAATGTTCCTTTGCTTCCTGTTCACATTCACCTATTGTATCTGTGTGTGTTCCCAAAAAGAGCATGTATGTGCATATTTTTAACTGTTTAGAATTTTGTATTTTGTAATAATTTTAGTGTTATATAAAAGTTACAAAAGTCACACAGAGTTCCCATACACCTTTCAATCAGTTTTCCCTAATATTTTCACCCTAAACACATAATAAATGAACAGAACTAAGAATTTTTCACCAGTGCCATTGTGTGAGCTCTACTACACACTTTGTTCTGATTTTTCCTGGTTTTCCTAAATATTTTTTCTGTTCCTAGATCTAATCTGAGTTTTTTACTGTGCATTCAATTTTCACGTCTCCTAGCCTCCTCTAAAATCCTCCAAGACAGTTCCTCAGTCTTCCCTTGTATCTCACGAGTATGGCTTTTTAAAGAGTACTCATCAAGTCATTTTATAAAATATACTTTGATATAGCTTGGTCCGATTTTGAGAAAAAAAATATATATAGCAAGAATATCATGCAAGTAGCATATAATCATTTAGGTGTATCACATCAAGGAGTTCAAGATATCTGAACGTCATACCACAGGTGCTGTTGACCTCAATCACTTGGCTGACGTGGTATCTGCCCTGTTTCTCCCCTTTAAAGTTACTTTTTTTCTTTGTAAATAATGTGTCATAAAGGAGATTCTTTGAGATTATTGAAATATCTTCTTTTAACTTTTAATTTTTGTGAGTACATAGGTGTATATATTATGCCTGTATCAAATGTCATCTACCCCATAAATATATATACCTAATATGCATATTTTAGTTTCAATTATTTTTAACTTAAAGATATGTTGAATGTGCTCTTCGGGACTTACTGTTTTTGCTTACAGTAAGTTATTAATATTTCTTCACATTGTTGCATGTGGCTGTAGTTTGCTCTATTTCATATCTGTGTATTCATTCAGTTTCTGGTTAATGGACACATTTAGGTTACTCTCAGTTGTTTTTTCTCTGTTGATACTGCTACAAACATTCTTGTACAAGTCTTTCGTTACACATATATGAAAGTTTTTCTTGAGTATAAATTGAGTTGTGGAATTCCTGGGCCAATAGGGTAAATAAAGGTTTAGGAGAAAATGTCAAATTGTCCTCCATCATGGTTACAAAAATGAATTATCTTTCCAGCAAAGTAAAAGAGCTGTTTTGTGATACACATTTCTCCAACACTTCGTATAGTCCATTTTTAAATTATTGCCAAGTGTATAGTATGAAATAACATCTCAGTGTCACCTTAATTGGCATTACTGTGATCATATACAAATCAAGTATTTATTGACTATGAAATGTGTTTTTGCCTTTTGACCATTTTTCTCTTGGGCTAGGTTCTTAACAATTTTAAAGAGCTTTATGCATTTTTGACATGACTTTGTATAACTTAAACACTATTAATTTCACCAATGGAAAGTCATCTGCCTTCTCATAATAACCACTATGTAATTGAACAAACCGTCTGAGTATCATGGGAGTTTGAGCACCACAGAAGGGCTTGTTGTGATGGCCTCCCCAATAATACAGGCCTTTGTTGACTTCATATCCCTAGTCAGTGTCTATTAAATGGTTAGCTAAGTGCCCCTTGGCTATAGTTAATTGGTTTAATTTGTATAATCTGTTTACATATACACATTCACATGCACAAGCACACACACACGCACAACATACAACACTGCCTAAAATGAATGACAATGTAGCACTCACCATTTCTGATCCCATTGAAACCACCCTGTTGACCCACACCAACAACTTTGGTGATTTCCAGCGGGCTCCTGCTTCCAGTCTCTTTCCTTCTCAGTGCAGCCTGCGCAGTGATCCCAGACTCTTCTCTTCATTATCTAATAATACAAATGAAGTCAAAATGCCTCAGTTCTGCCCGGGCCTAGCCTTCCTTCCCAGGCATCCCTCCTCTTGCTTCCCACAGGCATGGAGCCTCAGGACGTGAGCTCTGGCATCAATAACTCTGTCCCAGCCTGAGAACTTGGCAGATGCATGACATGTAAGTCAATCACATACCCTGATGAAAGCTTGGTTTCTTTTTCCATAAAAGAAGGAGAATCCCAGTGACTGTCTCAAAGGCACATAGAGTCCACGTGAGGAAGAAGTGAGGTAATGTTTTTTCAATGTTCAGTACAATGTCTGCAAAACAACAATCAATGAATGTTTGTTGTTTTTATGTGCCTATTATTATCATTAATATTGCACTTCAGGCTGCACACGGTGGCTCACGCCTGTAATCCCAGCACTTTGGGAGGCCGAGGCGGGTGGATCACTGGAAGTCGGGAGTTAAGAGACCAGCCTGACCAACATGGAGAAACCCTCTACTAAAAAAAAAAAAAAAAAAAAAAAAAAAAAGCAAAATTAGCTGGGCACAGTGGCGTATGTCTGTAATCCCGGCTACTTAGGAGGCTGAGGTAGGAGAATTGCTTGAAGCAAGGAAGCAGAGGTTGCGGTGAGCTGAGATCACGCCACTGCACTCCAGCCTGGGCAACAAGAGCGAAACTCTGAGCATCCTGTTACTCCCTAAACATTAAGGTGGGGATTCATTTGGCCACTCCCCCTTAGCATCTCTGTAAAGACATCTTACTCAACTGTGTGTATAATGGGAGAGAATGCTATGATCTTCAGAATCCTTAAGCACTTTGCTAACACTTATTTTAGAACACTTATGGCTAGCAGTTTCTTATACAAACACATTCGTCTCTCTGTTGTCTGTGTGCTGCTTGAGAGCAAGAACTATTATATTACTCATCTCTTTTTCCAGGATCTAGAGCCAGGCCTAGAACAGAACAGGTGTTCAGGAAATCTATGTTGTGGGAATGTCTTCCTTCTCTTCTTTTTTTCTTTTCTTCCTCTTTTCTAATCCAAAAAAAAATTTTTTTAATACCCCCATGGAAAAATTCTTATAAGAAAGTTACTTTTGTCTGTAAACCTTATAAAACCTCATGATGTCCAGACTGGAAACATTACAGTTTTTTTATTTTGTTTTGTTTTTTTTAAAAAAAAAAAGCCCAAATAATGATTCATTGATTCATGCCTGTTTCCATGAATAGATTAGCATAATTCTTACTAATTTTCTTTTCTTCTTTTATAATCTAAACCCGTAAGTATCAGGGACTCTCTTATACTCCTTACAAATTGCCCCCAATCCAGGCACAACATATCGCTTATCTATACCAACGGGGCACGGCCATCTTGGCCTCTTGTCTACCTCTTCATTTCTCTTCTGCCACAAGACATCTGAACCTCACCTTTCTCTTTGTCTAAAGTTATCAGTTTTCCTAGGTCACTCAAGGTACAGATTCCCTGAGAGTTTAGTTCTTATTCTGCCTGGCTGCTTTTATGGGGAGAATGTTCCCAGTCATGATGGTGCTTTCTTGCTTTGAAGTTCCAGGGAGGAAAATAAAGGAAGCAGACAATCCTTCGATGCTCTACTGTGGTCAGAGTTGCAGTGGGGAGGGGAGGAGACCCACACACCGATACACTCGTGCTGCCGTGGTTCTGTAACATTATCATGCATTCATATGGTGTCCGGGGATAGACCATATTCATAAATATAAATTATTCTATAAGTTCAACTTTAACGTCTTTAAATATTACCTTTTCCATCATCCTTTCATGGCCTGAAACAAACCAAGGAGCACAAGTTGTCATGTTCTGTCTTATGTCATTTGCAATCACAATCATTAGATCATTTGATTAATTTCATGAGCTAGAAGAGTCCATTCAATGAACTGTGCTCATATTCAGGGTCCTAGAGCTCACATCCATCACCACACATGCTCAGACATGACGTAGCACACTCACATGCACCTAGGTGAGGCTTTTCCTCAACATCCTAGTCCAACCCTTCATTTACTCTTAAGCTTCAAAAAACATGTGGGGAAAAATCAGACAACATGTATTATCTATTTTTAAAAATCTATTATGTTAAGGGTAAAAAAAGGAGGTAGGGTGATGAAAAGAGAATAACTATATGCAAATGATGTGATGACTATGTGCATAATCGTATTCTTGGAACTCATTACTCAAGAGTTCCAGTCTACCTCTGCTCCGCGATTGTGTGTGTGAGGATCCAGTGCAAGAGGGAGGAACTGCCCCAGGTGTCTGGAACACAGAAAGGTTTAATACAAGGAAGTGGGTGCCCATAAAATCACTGGATAGAACAAGGAACGGGCCTGCTGCTGAGCTCTTGACAGCACTATAGAGAAGAGCCAGAGAAGAGGAGGCTGCCCCTGACTCCACCGGCTCTGCTGGCTCCCTGGAACAGGGTGTCTGGACTCAAAATGCACTCCCATGAGACCCACCTCTTCGCCTTCAGAAGCTGCAGGAGGTGGACCACAGTTGCTACTCCAGATCTGCCTTCCAAATCTTCCACAGGTTTTTCTGACTGTGGCAGGCAATTCTCAATCTAATCTCCAGCTGCTGACAAGTATCCTTTGCAGTTTCCTGACTTCTCCCAACAGAAGAGGTGAAAGGGGGTGAGAGAGCCAAGCCACCGTGCAGTAAAATGAATTGTTTCCCTGTTGTGCAGAGCGGGATTTAAGCTCAGGCTCTTCTCTACCACTCCCACCACTCAGATTGTTCCTTCTGGAACAATTCTGTTAACATGTGAGCTTTGGTTTTTGTAGCGGCAAGGTATTGTCCTTGTCCACTTGTTGGAAGTATTGAATATAGTGCACATGCAAGACTAGTATAGTGCCTGGAACAAGGTAGGTACTTGACATATTGAAACTCTTATTGTCCTCCCTCGAGAATGATACAGTATAACTGTCGGTTACAAACACTGACCAAGCACCAGCTATGTACTTGGATGCTTTCATGACCCCATCCCAGTTAATCACCATAACAACCCCATGGTGTGCATCTTGAAATATCCATGTGGTTGGTGAGGAACCAAGGGTCAGAGAGAACATACAGCTGATCCAAGGTGAAGGCAGGGTCCCCTGCTCTTGCCTCCCCACCCAGTTCCAACACACACACACACCGTCTGAATAAAATGCCACCTATTTTTCTTATGCCACTGTAAAAGGGCTAATTTTTCTTTCTTTCTTTCCCTGACACTGCTTTTTTTCTTTTTTTTCTTTTTCTTTTTTTTTTTTTTTTTTGGCGTCTTGCTCTGTTGCCCAGGCTGGAGTGCAGTGGCGCAATATTGGCTCACTACAAATTCTGTCTCCTGGGTTGAAGCCATTCTCTTGCCTCAGCCTCCCAGGTAGCTGGGATTACAGGCGTGTGCCACCACACCTGGCTAATTTCTGTATTTTTAGTAGAGATGAGATTTCACTATGTTGGCCAGGCTGGTCTCAAACTCCTGACCTCAAGTGATCCACCCACCTCGGCCTCCCAAAGTGCTAGGATTACAGGTGTGAGCCACCATGCCCAGCCAGAAGGACTAATATTAACATCAGACTTGCGCTCACTCTCCTCCTCATGACTTGTAGGAACGGAGAAAGTGTGGCATCTGTGATCACAGCCCTATTGTCTGCACCCTTCTGCCTCACTCTCCTTTCTTGATCTCTTGCAGCTTTATACTAAACCATTTCAGTTGTTTGCATGAACAGAGAATCTTCCAGCTGTGTCATTCTTACTTCTATCCCAGCCTTCCAGCCTTAGGGAACTCATTTGTTCATGCAGGGGGCATCTTCTATTAGTGTCTACTGAGCTTGGCACCCTGATAAAGACTCAGAGATGAACAAAGCTCAGACTCTCCCCTCAAAAGTCCACACAGTCTTGTGAGGAATGAAAGGATGCGCACCCAAAGGACTGCAGTGACATTTGAGAAAACATTATTAAAATGCTTGACCTCAGACTGCAGGAGCTTGCATGAGTGAGTCTGCCCCATGACGGGGAAGAGGAGGCAAGATCAAGGGGGACTTCACACAGAAAGCAACTTTTCTAACAGCTTTATTGAAGTGTGATTGATATACAAAAACTGCATGTATTTAATGTGAACAATTTAAATTGGATGAGTTTGAATATATGTAAACACCTGTGATACCATCACCAAAATTGAAGTAATAGACATAGCCAACACTCCCAAAGGTTCCTTGTGTCCCTTTTGTTTAGTTTTGTGTTTGTGGCAAGGGCATGTAACATGATATCTGCCCTCTTTACAAATTTCGAGTTCACAATACTGTGTTGACTAAAGGCACTATACTGCATAGTGTAGCACAGATCTCTAGGACCTACTCATCTTGTAGAACTGAAACTTTATGCCCACTGAATAATTCATTTTGTCCACCCATCCCTCCACCCCAGCTCCTGGCAACCACTATTGTATTCTCTATTTCTATAAGTTTGACTATTTTGTCTTTGTTTTGCTTTGCTTTCTTTGAGGTAGGGTCTCATTCTGTTGCCCAGGATGGAGTGCAGTGGGGCATTCAAGGCTCACTGCAGGCTTGACCTCCCAGGCTTAAGCAGTCCTTTCACCTCAGCCTCCCAAGGAGCTGGGACTACAGGCACATGCCACCATGCCAGGCTAATTTTTTAAAATAATTTTTTGTAAAGACAGAGTCTCACTATATTGCCCAATCTGGTCTTGAACTCCTGGGCTCAAGCTATTCTCCCATTTTGGCTTCTCAAAGTGCTGGGATTACAGGTATGAGCCACTGTGCCTGATCCAAGAGTTTGACTGTTATAGATTCCTCATATAAGTGTAATCATGCAGTGTTTGTACTTCTGTTCATAGCTTATTTCACTTAACAAAATGTTTCACAGGTTCATCCATGCTGTTGCAAATGGCAAGATTTCTTTCTTTTTTAAGGCTAGGTAATATTCTATTGCATAGATATAGCACATCTTCTTTACCCACTCATTTGTGGAAGAAAACAGGTTGATTGCATTACTTGACTATTGTCAATAATGCTGCAATGAACATGGAAGTGCAGATATCTCTCTGGGATCCTGATTTCAATTCTTTTGGAAATGTACCCAGAAGTGAAATCACTGTGTCATATGGTAAAGCTGAACTTTGATGAATGATGTATTTCACCAAGTGGAGAAAAAAGAAAAGCATGGGATGCCTGAAGCTTAGGATAGTGTCCTAAAGAGACCCTCCGTCTTTGCAGCTTCACATTAGTAAGCCCTGCTGACACCGTGCGATGTCTGGACATCACTGGGATACTACATTTTGA